TTACAAGTAATGGTTCATTTCGCAAGGATTCTGTATTTGAGTTCGGGAATATAAATTTAGAAGTTTTTTTTTTGTTACTTTTCCCTACCTACAGCCAATCATTATCAAATTTTTTCTGTTTAGAAGACGCCAAATGATTTGATGAGGGACGATTAGAATTTTCCATTAATTTTCCCTACATACAGCCAGTTATTTTCACTTCTTTTTTGAGATTTGAGCCAATGGATTTAAGATGAAAGAATTTAGGAATAGTAAAGGCGCAAGGACCGCAATCATGAAAAGGAAAGCGCGAATTTTTTTGATTTTCTCTACCTACAGCCAATCAATTTGCGAGAATTTTTCATACCTATGGCGCGATTACAAGAAATGGTTCATTTCGCAAGAATTCTGTATTTGAGTTTGGCAACATGAATTTAGAAGTTTTTTTGTTACTTTTCCCTACCTACAGCCAATCATTATCAAATTTTTTCTGTTTAGAAGAAGCCAAATGATTTGATGAGGGTCGATTAGAATTTTCCATTAATTTTCCCTACATACAGCGAGTTATTTTCACTTCTTTTTTAAGATTTGAGCCAATGGATTTGAGATGAAAGAATTTAGGAATGGTAAAGGCGCAAGGACCGCAATCATAAAAGGCAAGCGCGAATTTTTTTTTTTGATTTTCTCTACCTACAGCCAATCATTATCACATTTTTCCTGTTTAGAAGAAGCCAAATGATTTGATGAGGGTCGATTAGAATTTTCCATTAATTTTCCCTACATACAGCGAGTTATTTTCACTTCTTTTTTAAGATTTGAGCCAATGGATTTGAGATGAAAGAATTTAGGAATGGTAAACGCGCAAGGACCGCTATCATGAAAAGGAAAGCGCGAATTTTTTTGATTTTCTCTACCTACAGCCAATCAATTTGAGAGAATTTTTCCTACCTATGGCGCGATTACAAGTAATGGTTCATTTCGCAAGGATTCTGTATTTGAGTTCGGGAATATAAATTTAGAAGTTTTTTTTGTTACTTTTCCCTACCTACAGCCAATCATTATCAAATTTTTTCTGTTTAGAAGACGCCAAATGATTTGATGAGGGTCGATTAGAATTTTCCATTAATTTTCCCTACATACAGCCAGTGATTTTCACTTCTTTTTTAAGATTTGAGCCAATGGATTTGAGATGAAAGAATTTAGGAATGGTAAAGGCGCAAGGACCGCAATCATGAAAAGGGAAGCGCGAACTTTTTTTTTTTGATTTTCCCTACCTACAGCCAATCATTATCAAATTTTTTCTGTTTAGAAGACGCCAAATGATTTGATGAGGGTCGATTAGAACTTTCCATTAATTTTCCCTACATACAGCCAGTTATTTTCACTTCTTTTTTAAGATTTGAGCCAATGGATTTGAGATGAAAGAATTTAGGAATGGTAAAGGCGCAAGGACCGCAATCATGAAAAGGGAAGCGCGAACTTTTTTTTTTTTGATTTTCCCTACCTACAGCCAATCATTATCAAATTTTTTCTGTTTAGAAGACGCCAAATGATTTGATGAGGGTCGATTAGAATTTTCCATTAATTTTCCCTACATACAGCCAGTTATTTTCACTTCTTTTTTAAGATTTGAGCCAATGGATTTGAGATGAAAGAATTTAGGAATGGTAAAGGCGCAAGGACCGCAATCATGAAAAGGGAAGCGCGAACTTTTTTTTTTTGATTTTCTCTACCTACAGCCAATCATTATCACATTTTTCCTGTTTAGAAGAAGCCAAATGATTTGATAAGGGTCGATCAGGATTTTACATTAATTTTCCCTACCTACAGCCAGTTATTTTCACATTCTTTTTCAAGATTTGGGTCAATGGATTTGAGATGAAAGAATTTAGGAATGGTAAACGCGCAAGGACCGCTATCATGAAAAGGAAAGCGCGAATTTTTTTGATTTTCTCTACCTACAGCCAATCAATTTGAGAGAATTTTTCCTACCTATGGCGCGATTACAAGTAATGGTTCATTTCGCAAGGATTCTGTATTTGAGTTCGGGAATATAAATTTAGAAGTTTTTTTTTGTTACTTTTCCCTACCTACAGCCAATCATTATCAAATTTTTTCTGTTTAGAAGACGCCAAATGATTTGATGAGGGACGATTAGAATTTTCCATTAATTTTCCCTACATACAGCCAGTTATTTTCACTTCTTTTTTGAGATTTGAGCCAATGGATTTAAGATGAAAGAATTTAGGAATAGTAAAGGCGCAAGGACCGCAATCATGAAAAGGAAAGCGCGAATTTTTTTGATTTTCTCTACCTACAGCCAATCAATTTGCGAGAATTTTTCATACCTATGGCGCGATTACAAGAAATGGTTCATTTCGCAAGAATTCTGTATTTGAGTTTGGCAACATGAATTTAGAAGTTTTTTTTTTGTTACTTTTCCCTACCTACAGCCAATCATTATCGAATTTTTCCTGTTTAGAAGAAGCCAAATGAATGATGAGGGTCGATTAGAATTTTCCATTAAATTTTCCTACCTACAGCCAGTTATTTTCACATTCTTTTTCAAGATTTGAGTCAATGGATTTGAGAAGGAATTTTAGGAATGGTAAGCAAGGACCGCAATCATGAAAAGGAAAGCGCGAATTTTTTTGATTTTCTCTACCTACAGCCAATCATTATCACATTTTTTCTGTTCAGAAGAAGCAAATTATGGGTCGATTAGGATTTTCCAATAATTTTCCCTACCTACAGCCAGTTATTTTCACATTCTTTTTCAAGATTTGAGTCAATGGATTTGAGATGAAGGAATTTTAGGAATGGTAAGCAAGGACCGCAATCATGAAAAGGGAAGCGCGAATTATTTTTTGATTTTCTCTACCTACAGCCAATCATTATCACATTTTTCCTGTTTAGAAGAAACCATATGATTTGATGAGAGTCGACTAGAATTTTCCATTAATTTTTCCTACCTACAGCCAGTTATTTTCACATTCTTTTTCAAGATTTGAGTCAATGGATTTGAGGTGGAGGTATTTTAGGAATGGTAAAGGCGCAAGGACCGCAATCACGAAAAGGAAAGCGCGAATTTTTTTTTTGATTTTCTCTACCTATAGCCAATCAATTTGAGAGAACTCTTCTTACCTATGGCGCGTTTATAGAGGAAACGGTTGATTTCGCAAGGATTCTGTATTTGAGTATGGCAAGATGAATTTAGAAGTGTTTTTTTATTTTTCTCTACCTACAACCAATTAATTTGAGAATTTTTCGTACCTATAGTGCGATTAGATGAAATGATTCATTTCGCCAAGACTCTGTATTTGAGTTTAACAATATGAATGTAGAGGTTTTTTTGTTACTTTTCCCTTCCTACAGCCAATCATTATCAAATTTTTCCTGTTTAGAAGAAGCCAAATGATTTGGTGAGGGTCGATTAGGATTTTCCATTAATTTTCCCTATCTACAGCCAGTTATTTTCACATTCTTTTTCAAGATTTGAGTCAATGGATTTGAGATGAAAGAATTTAGGAATGGTAAACGCGCAAGGACCGCTATCATGAAAAGGAAAGCGCGAATTTTTTTTTTTTTGATTTTCTCCACCTACAGCCAACCAATTTCAGAGAATTTTTCCTGCTTATGGCGTGATTACAAGAAATGGTTCATTTCGCAAGGATTCTGTATTTGAGTTTAACAAGATGTATTTAGAGATTTCTTTTTGTTATTCTTCCCTACCTACAGCCAATCATTGCATTTTTCCTGTTTAGAAGAAGCCAAATGATTTGATGAGGGTCGACTAGGATTTTCCATTAATTCCCTACCTACAGCCGTTTGTCACTTCCTTTTCAAAATTTCAGTCAATGGATTTGAGATGAAAAGTTTAAGAATGGTAAAGGCGCAAGGATCGCAATCATGAAAAGGAAAGCGCGAATTTTTTTCTCTACCTACAGCCAATCAATTTGAGGGAATTTTTCCTACCTATGGCAATTTTCCATTAATTTTCCCTACCTACAGCCAATCATTACCAATTCCTGTTTGAGCGAAGCCAAATGATTTGATGAGGGTCGATTAGGTTTTTCATTACTCTTCCCCACCTACAGCCAGTCATTTTCACTTCAAGATTTGAAGCAAGAGATTGCATATGAAGAAATTTTAGAGTTGGTAATGGCGCAAGGACCACAATCATGAAAAGAACAGGGCAACTTTATTTTTTTTCCTCTACAGCCAATCAATTTGAAAGAATTTTTCCTACCCATGCGCGCCTGCGATTCTAGAAGAAACGGTTGATTTTTTGATTTTACAAGGTTCTGTGTTTGAGCATGACAACATTAATTTAGGTCACTTTTGTTACTTTTCCCTACCAACAGCCAATCACTACCGTAGTATTCCGTTCAAAAGAAGCCAGTCTTTTGAAGAGTTATCAGAAAGATATCTTATCGGAAAGAAGGCAAGTGATTTAATGGTTAATTAGCATTTTGTCCCATTAATCCCAATGTAAATTACTAAAAATGAAATCACCTAAACCGGAGGTCAAGGATATCGCATGCTTTTCCGAGACAAAGAAAGCTTTTCGCATGTTTTCTTTTCTGGCGCTTTGAAGTTTCCTTGTACGTAAATGCAACCACCTCCTAGAACCCGTTCAGAAAATGAAGTGTGAAACGTTTTGGTGTTGATAGCCAGAATAAAAAGACTGCCTAGCCAGAGCTGGTGCTAAATGACAATACCATTACTGAGCTCCAACGCGCGATATGCACTGCGGTAAGCTCAGACTTCCCCTAATTGAGGCCGACCATTCGTCACCAATTTTTACAAACGACCGAACTTTTTCGACCGATAATCTTTCAAAAAGTGTTGCAATGTTTGATAACATACTCCACTCTGCTGTAGCTAAAACTGGACAAATCCCACAAATTTTTTTTTTGCATCTACGAAAATGACGAGAAAACGCTTACCATTTGCCAGTGTCGATGCTGTAAACCACAAGATGCTAAACTACAACAGAGCAAGCAACAAGAAATCAACAATATCCAAATCTTATTTATTTTTTAATAATTAACCTTCAATGAGAGACAATGTTTCTCATGCACTCAAAAAATAATACTTTCTCTTTTTTTACCGGTTATACATTATCATTTATCCATTTTTCTTCCACTATCATACCTACAATATGCTCTTCTCACAATTTTCGTTTCCTACATATGAAGCGTGAAAAATTTTCTTCATCAGGGGATAGCCAGCAGGTTTGAAGGTGAACTGAAGCCTTTGCGGACATCTCTACTCATCTTTCGAATCATCAGTAGTCATGACGGGTACCAGGGCGAACCTTATCGCCCAACGTCCTACACTTAGATGATGAGAGGGTGATTGATTGAGAAAGAGTGCCCGCTAAGCGTATCTCTTATCTTGACATAGATTCACCTGAAAACTTGGACATTCGCCAACTAATACGTGGATAGGGACAACACACTGACTAGCACCGTTTTTGTTGTGTTCGACTCGCTCTAAAGACTAACGTCACCGGGAATATTAGCACAAATAGTATCTGTCCATAGAGGGCAACATCTATCCGATTAGGTTTTTGAAAGATATTTTGGTATGCAATTTACCCCAGACAGCGGCAACTACTTTAAAATTTGAATTAATGAGCAAAAAATTTGATAATCAGTACCATATTCTAATAATTAAAGTTTGACAGTACCATTTGCTACTGCTAACACAATCTAACCAATAGCGAGTCGAAACACAACAAAACTGAGTTTATCAGAGAAAGTTCAAAATTGTCAAAGGGCATCACGCTTATACCAACCTTACAGTCCTACGTAGAGCGCTTCACAAGCTGGTCGGAGCCTTGCTACTTCAGACGACATTTAAAGTCGAAAATCAGTCCATCATTCCCAGAGAGAATCAGTCAGGTGAAAGATTGGAAAAAGTCTCAACGCGAATAGCACACACTCTACTCAACGTTTGATTCGGAACCAATAGTATAGAAGGATTTGGATCAGTCATAGTCATGTTCACAACCTTCTTCGGCTAGAATAACTCAACGTAGTCTCGTTGTAAAAAGGAAACGGCCCACCGGTATCGCTTCAAGAAGAATGAAGAGCAAAGACGTCTTCGACAGGAACCAACCAACCGCTATTGAAGAGGAGAGGCGAATGAGGTTCTACGGCGACCGAGCAGCTTATATACCCGTCGCTGCCCACTATCGATCCGCCCATCGCGTAAACACTGTGAGAATAGAAGAGAGCGCAGACACGGATGAAAAAGAGAGTTCAACGGTGAGAAGCTGAGCGTGAAAAGACGGATTAGATAGTGCAGACGGCGATGAGTGCGCAGACAACGCGATTTCGATCGCGGCGCGTCGCGAACGTGCTCGAAGGCTGTGTACGACGCCGTGTGACATTCGCGAATATTCTCGTAGGGACTTTCGAAAATGTCTTATTACTTCGCTACTGCTTCGAAAATAGCATTCAAACCGTTTTGGATCGGTTTGCCTGTTTGAGAAGGAACTTTTCCATGTCTTTATCGAGTTATAATGAGGTTTTAGCTAGGTGGAAAGCGCTGAGTTTGATATTTTGGGATGTAGCCATTACAAGACGGACCATGATAGCTTTTGCTCTGTACTTTTTCCATTCTCTTAGTACATGTTTACATCCAAGGGTTACTGTTCCACTTTTGAGAAACAATAGATAAAAAGGTCCAAGCACTATTAGACTGAGCGACAGGCTCAAAAATAGTATAATTCTGCTGTGAAGGCCTCTAATACGACGAGAATGAGAAGAGAGAGAAAGATTCGAGAAAAAAGTGATTAATTCATCATTAAAACTTCCTTAACAAAGCAGAAATCGAAAGAAGGCATGTCATGAAAAATGATATCTAACGTCGCCTGAGCGACCAGCACAAAAAGATAAAGAAAGAAAAGCGACGGACAAAGACGATATGTCAAGAATTGAACAATCAAAAGGATTCGTTAGTTTCGTGGATGAAATTGAAAATAGATGAATTATGCTTTTGGAAAGAGTTTATATACGCCTCGTAGTCAGTGAGAGTGAGTGGTAAGCTTGCATAACTTCCAGTAAATTCTAAGCCTGATTCGAATTTTGTCATATTGACTACCCAGAGCTCGAATAAGGTTTGCTTGTAGAAATGCACAACATAAGATAGATATCAAGAGTTGAACAGTCAGAAAAAATCGTTGATTCCATGGATGAAGTCAAAAATGAATGAAATGCCGTTCGAAGGTTTATATACAACCTCGCAGGAGAATGTTTTATTAGCTTTTAAGCCTAATGAACTTTGAAATTTAAATCCACTATTAAGCGCTCGAATAGGCTTTGCCCATAAAATTGTACAACATTTAGTAAGATAAATAGGTAGATCGCGCTCTATATACAACAAGGTGGAAAAAAACAACAGCGATGCCCCGAAGTTATCCAATTACTTTAAAGTACCACCCACGCAGATATTCTACCTTGTACCTCGAAACAACAACAACAGTTTTCGCAGCGGGAGCCCGTGACTATGTGACGTCATTAGAACAATGCAGCTGAGTCATCGGTTTCGTCACGGGACTCGGGTATATTCGAAATTCCTAGACGCTCGTTTTCGGATTCAGTGAGAGAAAAAATGCATGACGAAAACGTTTCGAAAATGTTAGGCATCTCGCATGCTGCAAGCTGTGCGATGATGTGGGCAGTTTTGATTTCGAAACATATTCATTCGCCTCGGGGTTTTCAAAAACATCTTTATCGAAGAGGTTGGAGGGTGTGCACGATACACAATTTGCTACGGCTCTAAATTATGAGTCCATTACTAGAAACAGTAAATATTGAATTATCAGAAAAAAGCAAGGATCATGTAAACCTACTTTAGAGAAAAAGACTGAGAAAGTATTAGAAACGATTACTCTCACAGTTTGGCGTGAGAGATGATTTTGACTCAGTCTGATTTTGCCAGAAAGAAGCATTTCGCTCCATCTGAACATCTAGGGTGTATGTTTTGATTCTTTAGCTGCTGTCACTTCTACGACCTTTGAACTCCACCTAGGCTCAGAATCAATGCAAATTCTATTTGCAACCATTAGCAACGATAGGAGAGCTAATTCTGAAAGTAAAGTCGAGCATATCTTCCCACTGTATGTGCAATTTCCAACTTTTCTAGGATGGACTGGATATGGAGCCCAATCATGGTTGCTTTTGTTTGTTCATAGTTTCTTTTTTTAGGAAAAATGGGAAGCGTGGATGGTAACAATTCGCAATTTTTATTTGCGAAGTCTGCTCCATACAGCCAACATCATGGAAGATGTGCAAATGCATGATCGACAACGATTTGTGCTTGTTTCTAAATTCCTGTAAATTTCGGCTAATTCTTCACATCATTTTTTGTTTTTCTTTTAGTTCCCATGGATATGGCTACGCAGATCTCAATAATCGATTACTATCTTGCCCACGTCAAAACTGTCCTCAATCGCTAGTTTAGTGTTATGTCCAAAGGTAGTGTTTGAATTATGGGTCACCTGACATTATGACGTTGCCAATGGTATTTTCCTCTGTGTACTTATCAGTACTACGTACGTGATGTATTCACAGTCATGTGATGGCAGTATCTATTTATGGCTTTTCTCATTCATTTATTTTCAGTTCTCTGGATTCCAGGCAGTACCTAAAATAGAATAAGACCAAACATCTAGCCTCCACCCATCAACAAGCAGCGTACTTATCCGGACATCCACCGTATCCCTGCGTCTATCCCAAAGAACACAAAACCAGAGAACCTTCGAGAATGCATTCCCCACAACATGTCTCGCCGTCACGCGTCTCGTGACCAGCAATCCTACGTCGGCCTGCCTCGTGAACGAAAGGAGGCCAGGCGTCTGCGGATTGTATCGATCCGGCCTCCATCTGTCGCTCCTCGTAAACAATAAAAAGGTCTCATATATAAATAGGGGGACTTGCTAGGGAAATTCTAGAAGGCTACAGATTTCAAAAAACCGATTATGTCGAAACATACAGCTAGGAAGAAGCAAAATGTATTAGGTTGGGACATAAGTCCTACACCAAAGTTTCGGGAAAATTTGTAAGTTCCCCCAAATTGAATAAATCCATTCGATATAATTCAAGATAGAGAGAACAAATCATGCAGTTTTTGCTACAGTCTGAATCAAAATTTTCTGCTATTATGTAATGGCGATAGAAGCCGATAAAAACGAACTCTCATTTATTTTTCTTCGATTTCCGATTGTTAAAAATGTTGGAAGGTCTAGCGACCTCTAGTTTCAGTTTTATTTCGAGTTCTATGCCTACTCTTTTTTGCTGGGATGACTTGTGTTAATTGAATCTTTCCACGAAAAGTTGTAATTGAGTTTTTTTCGAATATCGATTTTTATTCAAATTAGAATTCCCAACATGTATGATAAAATACTGCATTTATTGTATACAACGAAAAAATGTTTCCGAGATTGAAATATTGCCTAAGCATTTGAATGATTTTTTTTTGAAGTTTTTGGTGCAAGATTCATGTTCCAACCTAATAGTTATCTGCCATCTCACTAATATCTTCGCTCTCGTAAGAATTTTTTTGTCATTTCTTCGTTTTTCATTTGTAACGGAAATTCTACTAGGGAATTAGGAGCAAGTCGGAATGATACGCGCATCGTGAGAGCGTCTCAAAGGGACGATTCAAATATTCCAAGAGTTATCTACAAAATTCTTATGAAAGAAGTTTAAAACACTTTTCCGTAAGATTCGTGAATTTTAGATCAAACCATCATGCACTATAATATCTTAACAGAAATTAGTGTAGATGAATAGGCAAGAATTTCGCTGTAATTGTGAACCTCCGCAACACTTTGACACAAGCGATCATAAATCACTAAATCAGTCGCTTCGGAGATAGGATATTTTTAGCATTTACATTCAGAGGCGTTTTTGTTATTCAAGCTTCATATCCACACTCACAAAGTACTAGGTCACTTCGAAAGTAGCAGTTTCGATTTAATTTCATAGACTTTAGATTTCAATTTTTTCGACTTGATTTTGATTTACTAATTTTTTATTATTTTTTATGAAATCGTTTTATTAAAAGGGAGACACATTGGCTGGAATAAAGATTTCTGAAAAATTCTGGTAGCAATCGATGCAGCATTTCATCCTCTCACTAATGGTTATAGAAGCGTGCCCTCCGAAAATTACCAAGATCTGCGACCCATGCCTTTTGAAGTGGTCAAGTTTCACAATTTTTCTAAACTTTACATAAATACTCGGAAGGCAAGCAACATATGTATAGAGCAAACCCTACAGTATGCGAAGCAATTTTTTTTCCTTTCCGTAACTCGTCATAATAAAATTTCATGCTACCAATTTCCATACTTGGTCAACCCAAGCCTCGTAGAACATCAAGCGATGAGCAGCTCGTGTGTCATTTGATGCAGATTTTTCTCCCCTTTCATGTTTTTATTTGCTTTCGCTTCATGGAGTGCTCGGGGATAATATCATCATAATTCATGTCATCGAATGCGCCACGAGCTGTATCCGAAAAATTTGGAATTATTTCGACTCCCCAAATTCAATTATACAATACCATCTTGGAAGTTTCAAGGAAATTTACTGGTGTTTGGTGCGTTTGCGTCTGACGTAGACCTTTCCAAATTCGTTGATTTCAGCAAAATTTTTTTCCATGAATCATGGCGAGATATGGAGAAGAGGAAAAAGTTGTACTGTTTCCTGTAGGTTTTTCTCTATTTAACTCTTACTTGGACTCCTTCGGAGAGTTGATATAAAAAAATGAAAAAAACTTGAGCATCTCAAAAAGCATGTGTCGCAGATTTTGGTGATTTTTCGAAAGCTCACTGACTGTGCTAAAGCGACTTTGAAAGTATCAAAAAGTGGATGGAACACTGCATCGAATGCTTCCAAGATCACTTCGAAATTTTAGTTCCATCAAATGTTGCGCCCTTCTGAAAGTAGAAATTACTTTTGGAATGACCTAATGTTTTTCTCTACAAATTACAAATAATTCAGTATTTTTCTCTGCAAATTACAGGTCACGTCTTATCGCTAGCTCTATATTACCTTCCTGCGATCGTGTTTATTGCAAACGTTTATTAAAATCAATTAGCAACTATCCGTTTGGATATGGTGCTAATTTTTCTTTTGGAAACCATGAAAATCATATTTCCTTAGCGATTGTATACTCATGAAGCCGAAAATCAAGCTGCAAA